AACCCTAGACTTACATTCATAATATCACTGGTTTAATTACCAAGCTACTCTATTATGTAGATACAGGTAATAAATAAAGGTCTACTTATACTCTTGATAATAACTTCACACATGATTTAGATGAAATACGATAATGATCAAGATCTTAACAATAGAAAATATACTTAGAAACAAATGTAATATTTACCCTCTCCATTGAAAAACATTCTCAAGAAAATTCTTATCTTCTATTAAAATATATATTCATACCCTGCCTTGTACCTGCCATTAATGATTAATGTACACTGAGGCAACGATGATGTTTTGAGCCTTCTGTCAATTCCTTAGTTCTTTGTAGTTTGTAGTATATATGTATATATGTGTGTGTGTATATGTGTATAATTTGAGACAAGGTCTCCTTTTTAACGAATTTTATTGGGACACTTTTGACATACATAATCATCACATTCATCACAGGGAATTCAAACCTGTACATATTGTATCTTTATTCTTTTTATTTCCATTCCCCTCCCTTCCCTTCAATCCTTCTTCCCCACTCTTTTATAAAACTTTATTTCTGTCGTTTCCTTCCATTCTCTTTTTTAATCTTTCATTTCCTTTATTTTTCCTCCCTTCCCTGCCCCTCTCCCCTACTTCATTCCCTTTTCCATTGAAATATTTCTAATATCCATATCCATCTGGTCTTTATTAACCCTTTGCGTGTCTCACACAAGAGGAACAATCTAATATTCATACATATGTGTCTCATTTGACTTAAAAGAATCATACCAAGGTACACTCATTTACCTAAAAATGTAAACTTATCCTTCTCTACAGCAGAGTAGTACTTCACTGTATATTAAAAACCATATCTTCTTTATCCATTTATTCAATGATGGGTATCTGGGCTGTTTCCAAGATTCAGCTATTAAAATCGTGCTACTATAAACATGGGTGCACATATATAATTGTGGTATGATGCTTTTAACTCTTTCAGAAAGATATTTAAAAGAGGAATATCTGGATCAAATGGATCCTCTAGACATAGTTTTTGAGGAATCACCATCACTGCACTAGTTATACCAATTTACACTCCCATCAACGGTGCAGAAGGGATCCTTTGCCCCTACAGACTTACTGATACTTCTTGCTAATTGACTTTTAGAAGATACTCTCTGGAGAGAGGTGGGATCTCAGTATGGTTTTAATTTGCATTTCTTAATGACCAGTGATGTTGAACACTTTTTCATGTATTTATTCGCTGCTTATACACTTTCATTTAGGAAGTGTCTTCACTTCAGATAACCATGTTTGGATCACATGACTATCTCAATAGACACAGAAAAAGCATGTGACAAATTCCAACACACATTCATGATAAAAACCCCACAGAAAATTGGAATAGAAGGTCTTAATCTCAATCTGGTAAGAGTCATCTATCACAAACCAACAGCCAGCATCATACTAAATGGTTGGAAACTGAAAGCTTTTACTCTAAAATCAGGAACAAGACAAGGATGCCCACCTATCACCACTCTTACTCAATACAATTCTGGAAACATTAGCCAGAGAAATTAGAATAGATGAGTGAATGAAATTTTAAAAAATAAAGATAGGAAAGAAGGAAGTTAAGTTATTATTTACTGATAACATGATACTATACATAGAAAACCCCAAAACTTCACCAAAAGACTCCTATATTTAATAACCAAATTCAGTAGTGTAGCAGAATATAAAATCAACACTGAGACATCAATAGCATTCCTATACATGAATAACACACTCATTGAGAGAAAAATTAGAGAAATAATACCTTTCACAATAGCATTCAAAAATACAAAGGAATCAATCTAATGAAGTGAAAGTTCTATACACTGAAAACTACAGTACTCTAAAAAGGAGATCAAAGAGGTTATCAGAAAATGGAAAGCTATCCCCTGTTTGCAGAACCAAAATAGTGAAAATGGCCATCCTTCCAGAACTATTATACAGACAATGCAATCCCAACCAAAAGATCAATAGTGTGCATAAGTAAAGAAAACAATGCTAAAATTCTTCTGGAACCAGAAGAGAGCTATAGTAGCAAAAGAGATTCTGGGCAACAAAAGCAAGGCAGGGGGCATCACAATTCCCAACTTGAAATTATATTACAAAACTACTATGACAAAAACAGCATAGTAAGGGCAAAAAACCAGGCAGATTCTGTTCAATGGAACAGAATGGAAGATGCAAAAAACAACTCCAAGCACAGGCAGTCAACTACCTTATTTTTGACAAACAGGCTAAACACCTCCACTGAAAGGAAGACAGCTTCTTTTAATAAATGATGCTGAGAAAACTGGCTTTCCACATGCCAAAGATTAAACCTAGACCCTTATCTTTCACTGTGCACTAAACTAAAATTGAGATGGATCAAAAACCTAAGTATTAAACCAGAAACACATAATCTGTTGGAAGACAGAATAGGCAAAACTCTTGAAGACATTGGTATAGGCAAAGATTATGAATAAAACCCTAACCACACAGGAAATACTAAAGAATCAACAACTGGGATCTCATCTTATTAAAAAGCTTTTGCACACCAAAAGAAACCACCAACAGAGTAAAGAGACAACCCATATTTTGGGCAAAAAATTTTATCAGCTATTCCTCAAAGGGCTAATAATATCTAGAATGCATATGAAGAATAAAAAAAATCAGAACCCCCTTCCCTGACAATTTTACAGTCTCCTAATGTTGCTCAGGTTGGTTTTAAACTCATCAGCTGAAGAGATCCTCCCACTTCAGCTTCCACAGTTGCTAGAAATAAGGTCTTTATTTCTTTTATACATATGTACCCATTATTAACTGCAAATAAGTTATTTATTAGAAATTAGTCTAGTAATGACAAGGCTGCATGGTACAATATGAAGAAATTATGTTGCTTATGGACAAATTTAATACAATTAATGATTAACAGTAGAGTCATTTTGGGAATGGAAAAATATTAGAAATCTACAAGATTAAATTAACTGAACAGCCTGAGTGTGGGCCAGGGAGAACCACGAAGGAAGCTCATCCCCCACCTGTGAGCCACCTAGTGCACGCACAGGCTGTGGAGAGAAGATAGCCTTCCCTATCCTCCTTGAGCCTCTCTCCTACCATGTGCAACCAGCTGACTCAGAGGAACTGTATTGTTTGATTGATTTTGTAGGCCTAAAAACTGGCAGTTTGAGCAAATATCCGGGGGCAACAATATGCAAACAGTAACTCTTATAGACCTCCTACATAAAATTAATCACTTTTGATTCATTTTACTGTTGTTTTACTCCTTTTAAAGCTAAAATAAGTAAAATTAATTAATTGAACAAAAGCCCATGATACATATAATTTTAAAAAGTACTAAGCTCATGGTTCCTCATATCCACAATCCTCAATTGGCCGGGGGTGGGGAGTTGGAACCAGTAAATTTGAAAGCTTTAGGTGTTAGCTGCTCTCAAACATCCTCATTTATTGCAGTAGGACAGCAAGAGTAGAGCAAAGGCAAATCCTACAAGAAAGGAAAGTGCTGACTAGTGTTAGCATCATATAAATTTAAACTGTAAGAATTAGTATATGTGACATATTAGTGATTCTCCATTACCTTATACATATTATGATTTCAAGAGAATTTATTTAATAGATAACAATGGGCAGAAAGAGTAAAATTACTTTCATAAAATTTATTTTAATGTTGTAATCACTCTAACATAAGATGTCATAATGGCATTTACAAATAAGGGGTGATTGAATGTTCACAGTCAGGGAAGGCTGAAAACAGTTACAGAATTCATAGTCAATATATATCATCCAAGGGTGAAATTACATTTGGTGCAAATAAAATTCCAATCATTAAAGAGACTATTTTTAAGATGAAGAAAGATGATTTTCTGTGGTTTCCCGTGAATGGTCATAAGGCCAATCTTTTGCCCTTAATTCTCTACTCACCCAATAGCCTCCAGATACATTTGAGTCCTTTATTCACAGAAGGGTGATATCCATCTACACCACAGTAACTTGCTGTGTTGCTTTGTATACTTCCCATAATTAATAAATGATGCAACACTTAGGCTTCCAAGTAGACACTTAGGAAATTTGGTCAATGTCAGTCTTCCAATACTTGATAAAAATGCTGCTAAACCAGAAGCATACTAACTCCATGGAAAGAAAACTACATGCATGCTTATATGAATACTAAACAAAACAACACACAGCCACCTTATCTCTCAATAGTAGATTCACCAGAAAAAGGTAAGATATAATTTACTAAAAACAACTCCAAATTGTGGGGACGAAGAAGCAACAATATCACTTTTCAACCTGGAAAACACTTTTAAATTTGTCAAGCATCTCTGGACTGGCCTAATTTTGTTATAGTTCAAACTATGTACAATCCAAGATAAAAATCTAAGTACAAAAATAATCATAGTAATAAGAATAATAACAGCCTTAACAGTTTCTGTTCTAGAGATTAAAAGACTTCTGGTAACATATGATGAAGTAGCTCTTATTATTTATATTTTATAGAAGAAAATGAGGCATAGATAGGTAATTTGCTCCAAATCTTGGAACTCTAACCAGACTGAAGATTTTAACACTGATTAGACTGACATCAAATTTCACATTTTCCATTGTCACACTTGCCATCCTAAACATTTATAAAAATACTAGGGATAATGAAAGTAGAAATGAACATTTTGGGAATTTACAAAAACATGACCAAACTCTACTGTAGCAGCCATCTCATTCCTAAGGTGCTAAGTACTATGATTCAAACACAGCTGCTTCTTTGGGGTCTTACACCCACAACACAATGATAAAGCACGTTAACTTTATACGGAGTAAGCCCTATGGCTATAACTTCATATCAGCGTAGTAAATAATAGAAGACAGCAACAGCTATGATGCTTACTAACACTCAGATGGTCTTTAAATTCTGTCACATGTACACTTGCAATTAGAAAAATTCAACAGAAATCTGACAAATGTTTTTGAAAACTTACTTTGCAGTCTCCGTGTCGGGCTCTCTCCATGGAGCTGTCTTCGTGGCATATATGGAGATGGGTGGGGAAGTGGCAACGAAGAGACGTCATGGGTCTGGAGTTTGTACCAGTGTGGCTCATCATCTAATAATGCTGTTTCTAGTTCAATTAAAATCTATAGACCCAGAAGACAAAGGACCATACAGTACAACAATGGTAAAGAAATTCTCTTAGATGTTCTTATAATTTTTACAATAGTAGTAATAGTGATTGTTAGATCAAAAATAAAGTCACTTAGTTGTCGCAAAATTATCCACATATTTTGACTAAAAAAATGAAGCTTTCTAACTTGTCAGAGCTTTACTGCTTTTAAATATATGCCACATTCACTTGGTAGACCCTTGACTGCCTACCTACTAGATGCTATTAAATTTACCATGACAGAATTAATGCCAATTTTAAATGAAAAAGGTGAAATGAATCAATCTGTCTTACTTAAAACTCTATGTTCACTGTACCATATGGCTAACAGTTCAAATAAAAAACATCATGTTATCTTATAAAAACAATTACCATGACAATTAAAAAACATAAAAGAAAAAGCAATACTGAATTCACGAACTATACAATATACATTTTACAATAAGCACAGTTTAAGGTTACAAAATACACTATACCACTTTGTAGAAGTAATTGACTATTTTGGAGTGTTGTGCAAGCTTGACAAGTGTTTGTACTTGATGTAATAAGAACTTCTGTGTGAAGAAAAATTACTGTATTATTTACCGATGAAGGTAAAGAGGCAAAATGTTTATTATTTCACTGTTTTGAAATTTTTCCTAGTTATTTTCAAAAGTATAAGGCTTTATGTTTCAAATGAGGTTTTTTTCCCAAGTGTTTACACACAGACAGACAGGCAGATAGGGACACACACACACACTTATTTAATCCTGTTAGTAGCTCTGAGTTGTATACTAGGATTATCCCCACTAGCATGAAGAGGAAACCAAAGCATAAATAAGTTAAATAACCCAACCAAGGCCACACAGCTCGTGGTATACCACCAGTCACGAGCAGACTTTGGCCCTGGAACCAGACTTTCTCCTCCTAAGATTGTGCTACTCTTCTTCCCAAAAAGTTTATAGGTTTATGACTCTTGTCCCTTAGCTGACAGCACCCGGCTCAGCATCTCTGTGTATATGGTTACTCTGCCCCAAGACTGCCATTAATTTACTTAGAGAATCCCACCACACGGAAAAGGTTAAAAGTGGACAATTTAGACTCATCAGGAGAACAGCTTCCATCTTCCCCTCTCTGATTCATTTCCTACATTACAAGTGGAAATGCTTTCCTCTGGTGTAAATGCAGTTGAGCACCCTCTCTCTAAAGCTCCTGGTTCACAGTGACTGCTTACTTCCAAAAAGAAGGGATCTGACCTGGTTCTTTGTTTAGCCCTCAGGCCTTGTTTCTCGTGCCACTTTCCCTTTCAACTTCAATAGGGCTGCCCTGACTTGTCATCTTGGGTTTTTTCCTACAAGAATTTGACTTCCCTTGATTTGGCTCAACCTCCCTTGTTTGAGGGATTTCCTCTGACCACCTTCCTTACCCAGCAGAGTCTTTATACATCTACCGCAGTTGGTGTACTGCAGTTCCACTGCCAATCTCGTCTGTATGCTAGAAGGGTTGTAAATTCCCTAAAGTTATGTGACATATTTGCCATTGAAGCCTCCTAGCACAATGCCTAACACATTACAGAAGTAAAAAATAACCCATGAATAAATGAATTACCAGCTTTTTAGTGGTATAATTAGCTTAATAAAAAAAGACATACACAACACTAGGGGCTGGGGATTTAGCTCAGCGGCATAAGCGCCTGCCTTGCAAGCAGGCAGTCGTGAGTTTGATCCCCAGTACCAATAAAAAGGAAAAAGACCAAAAAAAAAAAAAAAAAAGACATACACAACACTAAAACGAAGCAATGTGTTTGTGAATGTGTTTCACCTTTTATAATTCCACACTGAGATTGCATTAGGAAGAATAAGCATTCAAGAACTGTTGTGTAGACTGCTCATCATTTCTGAACTGAGATCTCACTGTGTTGCTGAGACTAGCCTTGAACTCTGGGCTCCAGTGACACTCCTGGCCCTGTCCCCAAGAACCAGGAGGACTCCAGGTGTCAGTCAGCAGCAGGCTAGCTCTGCCACAGTGTAGGCAGAACCTTTGTTCTCTATGGTTTTAATTTTATCTTAAAGCACACTAGCTAAATTCATTATATTAAATTAAGAAAATATACTTTTACAGATATTTGTGATATAAAATTTTACTGACAGTCATTTAAACAAAAGTATTCAGAATGACATGACCACTTTATAAATAATTCTAGATACCTCTCCTAAAAATTCACTTTCTTCCTCTCGAACCCTAGCTTGATCCCAAAGAGTAATCTCCAGCATTCGTTCCCGAAATTCTCTTCGGTGGACCGGAGAGTAAATGAATGTTTGGTTCCACTTAGGTTCCAATGTTTTCTTTACTGTTTTTGTTCTCCTCTTGTTTTTATCACTATCAAAAAGAAAGAACACAGGAAATTATTTGGGGGCTGGGGGTTTAGCGCACAAGCACCTTCCAGGCAAGCGCAAAGTCATGAGTTCAATCCACAGTACTAAAAAAAAAAGAAAGAAAAAACAAAATTTCAAATTTTGTCTTAAAGTATGTGAATTTAAAATTTGTCAGAAGTCAGGTAAAATTTATCATGCATTTATCATACATTGCAAATACTGTATTTTAAATTGTTAAAATTAAATAATTTTATATTGTATATTATAATTTTATATGTATATTGTACCATTATATTATGCCTTACAAGTATGACTCAAGACTAGAAGTGGTGTAATAAATATTAAATTTTTCCAATGACAGATAATTGAAAACTTAATCCCTCTCAAAATCTAAATAAGACAACAAGAGAATCTTAGCTATAATTGTTTTTATGTATTATCTTTATGGAAACCATCAGAGCAGTAATTAACCTGTAACACTCACATATTATGCATTTAATCTGCTTAAGCCTTACTGTAAAAAAGATGAGTAAATTGCAACGATAGTAACTACCTATCCATATATTTTAGGTAACAAACAAATGTGATTTACATCTTACATATGTTTTTACCCATAAGAAAGATTATATTCATTTTTAACAGATATCATGTCCCTAAAAATATTGAAAATTATTTCTAGTAAGGATGCCACTATAATGTGGACTGGAAATGCACCATTACATCCAGATGGATGGAATTTCCAGATCAGAGCCTTTCATACTTATTTTGATTGCATATCTCTCTATCAAGTTAATATTTTAAATTATAAATTCATTAAATGCACATATGTTATAAGTTATATACATGGATTACTTTACCAACACTACATATACGAAATATATTGCACTGATATGTATTCTGTGAAATATACCAAGACAAGGATTTAAAATATGAGATAAATTTTTTTCCAGAGTTCTAATAGGTTACTGACATGCATCTTATGTGGAGACTGGACTAGACCAGTGTCTAGCTAAGAATTAGAGGTGTGGTACTGCGGTCTGGGTGGATGTGGAGAAGGCTTGGTTTCCAGCTGAGGTCCCCTGGAGAGCTGGTGGAAATCTGGGGAGATGGAGCCCTGGGAACCTGTGCCTGCCTCTTCCTGCTTTCTGGCCATCACCGGCAGCTTTGTCCCACTGCAGCATGATGTGGGGCACAGGCCAAAGCAATGGGGCACGAGACCAGGAACCGAAACCTCTGCAGTGCTAGTGGAAATCAGTTCCTCCCCTGTTACGGTGATTATCTCGGGTATTCTGTTACAGCCACAGAAAGCTACACAGCTGGGAAACTGAAGGAGAGGGTACAAAGGGCAAAGGTGACTTCCAAATAAGGGCATGTCTTTAAAAATTTTAGTGCCCAATATAGATTTGACTTGAGTAATCACAAGATCCAGAGCACGGTATTTAAAGTAGCAGAAATCTGCCTTTAAATTATAATGAGTTCTACTAAGACACTTGGAAAAAAAGATGACAGATCATGTACCACTTCTAATTATAAGGTCATCTGTAGGATAATGACACTGAAAACCCATGTGTACATGGAAACGAAGTGATACTAAGTATAATAACTAATAGGAACAAAGTGCTAATCCACAAATCAAAATGACCCAAAATCTGCATCTTTCTGAGTTCTTACATGATGTCACAGTGGACAAGTTCATACCAAATTATTAAAAATACTGTACAGAATTATTTTCAAGAGACAAATGTGTGTGTGTGTGTGTGTTCCATAAGAAACATAAATAAAGTTTGTGTCTAAATTTGTATCCCTTCCTCAAGCAAAGTACAATATATATAAATATTTTGAAGTCTGAAAAAATGTGAAATTAAGAACAATTTTGTCTCCAGCATCTTGGTATACAACTTATAATAATGAGAATAACTTATGATCTCTTACTCTCCCTGTTCTCTTCTAAAAAGTGTAACAAATATTTATTCAGCATTTACATATGGCATGTATTCATGAAAGAATGAGTTCTCAGTCTCTGTTAAGAGACAGAGTTCCTTCCAAAAAGGCCACACATATTTAACACACACCTACTAACTTAAGAAAGATTTATAATAAAATCTGAAGGTGAATAGAAAAGCCATCACCTTTCTTTATGGACTTAAAATGTTCTTGGATAAATAATGACTATTTTAGAAGGAATTTCACTATTGCACACAAAGAGGCCTACATAATTTCTGCAGTTCCTTAAAACTCAATGTACATAATTACAATTTCAGTGGACCTATTTAGCATGCACCTAACACAGATAATGCTTGCAGAAGGCAATTCACAGCCAAATGGTAAAGTTTCCTAGGGGTAATGAAATACAAAATGTACTTTTTAATTTTGTAGAATAGAGTACAATAATATTTTGGTAAAAGGAGGTAGGAATTGAAGAGGAATATCAGCAGTTTTAGGATCCTTACCAATTTTTGATTCTATATTTTGTGTTAAAATTTTTATATGATCTTTATAGGTTAAAAACATAATATTTAAGAAATCATACACATATGCCTAAAATGGTAAATAAAATATACAACATTTAATATAAGCTTTAAAACAATCCCAAATACTATTACTTTTGTGTGTGTGTGTGTGTGTGGTACCGGGGATCAAACTCATGACCTCACGCTTGCAAGACAGGCATTTATGCCACTGAGCCAAATCCCCAGCCCTTCAATCCCAGATATTGACTGTCACTATTTTTGTTCCTAAAAATGATATTAAATTTATGTTAAATTTCATACCTATCTGACTAGTATGATACAGAAAGTGAGTTCTAAGAATTGAAACACCTGTATTTATTAACATTTCCCATTTATTTTCCAGAACATTTTTTTTCTGCTTTTCATCCATACCTTCTATCGGGAAGAAAGTAAATTTTAACGTAAGGATTCCTTGGCCTCCCATCTTCTCTGGAAGGAAGGTCCTTTGCTCCCAGAATTGTAACTATTAATTGGTGACCAACCTTGTCAAACCATAGTTTTATCTGAAAAGCAAAAAAAAATCACTTATCAACTCAAACATTTACCAAATACATATAAGAATATACTAATAATTTCAATTAATAAAAGATTCAGGTATTTTGGTTTCATTGATAAATCACTATAGGCTTTTCATTATTCTAATGTGATTATTAACATGTGTATACTAATACCACTATCATAATTAAGATCTTTAAACACAGTTATTGCTCCTTATCTTTCCCTATCAATGAATCACTTCAATTCATTTTGTTTCCCCTATAATGAGTTCAGAATAAGTGACAAAAAAGAATTGGGTAGTAATTTATTTTTATGTTATTGATAGGGAATTTTCAATAAATTTTTTATGATATATCAAAAAAGTCAAAGATTATAAGTAAGGATGATTTACTACTACATTTAGTCAATAGATTTCCTCAAATCATATTCAAAGTAATTGCTTCATCTTTTTAACATTTTCTTAAACATAAAATCTCAATTTCGTCCTATAATCTGAGGTGAGAAAATGTGAGCAGCTTTGTGTTGTACTAATTAAGGACTGAACTTCATATCCAGCTGCTGAATTCATTTGCCACAGCAGCTGTGTCTCCCACACACAGACTTTCCACCTGCTCCCTAGTCAAGTGACAAATGTGCTGTATAAAGACCTGCAAGAGCCCAGCTCTGGCTCAAACCTCAGCACATCTCTGACCACTACTTAGAAACCAAAATGGAACCAGAAACTTGGAATTGAGAATTACAGGGAAAAAGCAAATCTCTGGCTATGTCTGAAAAACACGGGCACTTCAGTTCCAATGGCACCAGTTCCAGCAGAACCATGCTGACAGCCTCACTTACGCTCTAGATAACGAGAAACTGAGCAAGTTTGGAGCCAGAGTGGGCTGACAGCCCCAAAGGAAATATCATTTATTTGCTTTTCTGCTAAAATAAATTAGCCCTCTTATTGGGACAAGAATAAGAAATATTCAAGTTATAGAAATTATAATTACTAGTCTTCGTGCTGTCTTGTCTTTATGTTTAATGTAGTTAGTATGCTGCCATTACATAACAAAAGGTTTTTCCACTAGAGCTGCTAAGTTCAAACACTGACCCCAGCCTAGTTTCTGAGCTGCCACGAACACAGCTCCAGTAGCAATAACAGCTGTAGTGCTATCTCACCTACTCAAGCACAGGAATTTATGTGCTTACTTATGTAATAATGAGGATTAAACACTGAGCTGTACCCCAGTCCTATTTTTATTCTTTTAGTTTTCAGCTGCTCAGGCTGGACTCAAACTTGGGGTTTTTCTGCTTCAGCTTCCCAGAATGTTGCAAGGACAAGCTCGGGCTGGAATATGAACTACAGAAAGTCCTTCAGGACAGCCTCACGTGCATTGAAACTGGAGAAACACGGCTTTAGGCATGAACAGTCCAAAGAAGAAAGGGCCCAGCATTTGAACTGACAGCAGAAAGGTTCAAATTCTTGTTTGCCTAACAATATTAGAATGTTGACACGGAAAAGGATAAGGAAATGAGAGGGGGGATGAGTAAAACAGTCTTCTGGTAAAAGCTAAATAAAAAAGAAAAGAAAGAAAGAAATGTAGGAGTCTCACTCTACGAAATGAAAGACATTGCAAATTATGTTATGGTGTCTCTAAATGTGTGAGATCAGATTTATTTCTACGATTTTCTTTACTTTCACCAAAAGTAAAAAAGCTTACAGCTTCATTTTTTCTAGAAATTAAAAAATCTTTCTCAATGAATACTAGTCACCTCATAAAAAATTCTAAAGATTAAAAAGAACTGCAAAAATCTTTCCACTTAAAAATAAAGAAAAAACTATTGTTGTTATTCTTGTTACCAGACTAAGATCAACATTATTTGGGTTTATTGATTTCCATGGGAACTATTTAAAGATGTTGAAACTTTTAGGACTTGACATCTTCAGAGGCAACGTTTTTGCTCAATTAAAATCACCAATGTTGTTCACTTGAAATACGTATTTCATAAAGTAGAAAAGAATATTCTTTTCTTATGCCATAGAAAACGAAAAACTATCACTTATTAATATCCATTTCTCAAGCAAGCAGACATTAGGTGTATAGCTTTCAGGGTTTCGTGACAATATTTGAGTTAAATTATACGTTCCAGATATATGAAGGATGAAATACTTTAGATAGGAAACAAATACACTTTAATTTTATTGACTCTTTGATCAAAATTATACTTTTTTGTAAACTACTTTAAGCTAGGTATTTAACAGCCCTAATTTTTGTTTATATAATGAGACCTGAATTAAAGTTTTTAATGTATATTCAATTAGTATGATATTTCATTAGCTAGGTTATTTTATCACTACTTTAAATTCCTTATCTATGCTTTAAAAACTTCATTAAAATACAGCTGTTGATCCTTCACAATATTACAAATACATATTATAATTAAAGTCCTGACAAACTTTGTGCTCCATTAGTTTCTTTAATAAACTCTTGCAATTGTTTAATTGTTTAATATGACTATCATCTCAGCTTTCCCATAGACATTTTGAACTTTCACAGTACACCTGAACAGTGTATATAAATATTTGATATTGTGTAATGTTAGTTAGAAAACTGACTTTCATGATTTAAACAAAATAAGTATTATTCAAAACCAGCAAATCTTTAAAAACATGCAGCAAAGCAAGGAAGGCATTATACTACTTTTTAGGCACACTATATCGACATTACGTTACCATATAAAGGTTTGCTACTGAAAAGAGGCAAACAACTTGTACCCAAGTACCAGAGTAAAATTAAATAGAATGACAAAATATAAACAAAATTCACCAGAACTTTATTTAGATTGTGGTTTTGTTTTTACGAAGTGACATAATCTAAAAAGTTGAACTTTATATGCCACATGCATGAAATTCATATTTTAAATAAGGTACAAATATATTTGCCAGTCTCCTCAAGGAGTTAGTGCTTGGAAAATGCAAGAAAATGTAGAGGTGAAGTGGTATAATGAATGATTTAAAGAGACAGCAAGCTTAGTGTAATAAAGAAGAATATCAGTATAAAATTAGCTGTTTCTGTAAACAATACTTATGTAAGTTGACTCTACAATAAATCTACATTAAGTGCCACTTTAAAAACTAGACATTTTAGGATTTTATCATATATAATCACCGATAAAGATTGTCTCTTTAAATTTGTATTCAATATTCTAACCCCCATGCAGAATTTTACAAGCTGGTTCATAAAATGATTTGAAAGTCAATAACATGGTTTAGAGCAACATACCCAAAAGTTTTCCTACTACGCATTTTCCAAAAACATACAGATAAGGGATAGAACACAACTTGAGTTTCTATCAGGCAGACAAGGCCTTTACCTGCACCCTAGGAACAAAAGGCGGTGTTCTTCTACTAAGGCTTTGGCTCTGGTAAGCAAAATTAAAGAAAAAAGCAATAAAACAAAACCAAAAAGGACAACACGCTGGAACTAAAGACCGAAAGTAAAAATAAACACAGAGAACTATCCCTTAAATACAATATTTTCATGACAATACTTATTTAAATTAAGAAATTCATTATAAGGAATAAATTAATATTGCCAAATGCTAAAATACATAAAAACTACAAATATTTAATTTTGTTTTACCAGACTTTTAATCTAGTCAACATAACAGTAATGAATGCTGAATATAAAATAATATATTCAGTCTGTGTGTTCAGAAAGAAGAAATTTCAGATTTTACCCTTGAATATCATTATCCATGGAGGCAGTGGTTCCAGGACCCTCACAAAAAACAAAATCCATGCATGCTCAAGCCTTTTATCTGAAAGGGTGTCATATTTACATGTAATGAACACACACCCTCCTGCTCTATGCTTTAACTCTTCTCTAGTTGATACATAATACCTTCCACAAGGTAAATGCTCCATAAACAGCTGTGACATGTTACAGTTTAGAGAACAATGACTGGCAAGGTAAGGAACATAGGTATTTATTGCACACATTGTTTTCCAAGTACCCTTAAATTTGAGCTTGGCTGAATCCATGGATATAAAACCCGTGGATATGGGAAAGCCAACTGTATATTAAAAGAACAGTACAAAAACAAAAACAAAACAAACAAAAAAAAAAAAAACAGGCGCAAAGGTATTATAGGATGAAAAGCCATCTATGAAGGTAATCTGTGACTTCTCCAAGTTGATAAATTTAACCAAAATTTAAAAAAACCTGCTTTAGGTATGTTGGCTTTAGAATTTCTTTAACAAATAAGCACACTAAGATGTAAGTGTGCAGGGATTCACTGAACACCATTTCCAGACATTATTTTTTACCACTTTATATAATATTGTTTATTGCTAAACATGCCAACCAATGACAATAACTCACTACTTTTTTTTGACAGTTCTTTATAGTTTCTCAAGCCTTTGGTAGTTTAGAGCAAGGTTTTTTTTTATTTTTGGTTTTTTGTTTATCTCTTTGTCTTTCTTTTATGATATTTCCAACAACTATAGGAAGGATCTCCATTTTCCCCACATTGCTGATCAGGAAACAAAGATATAAATGGTCTCAGAACACTTCCCAATATTCAGAGACAGAATGATGAGAAGATAAGAAGTGCAGCCTCGTTCTGATTAATCATTCTACAGTATTTTCAAATTCTCTGAATAAAGCAAATATCTTATCTGATTTTTTTTTTGTTCTGCTTCTTAAAGACACCACAATAATAAGAACTAAGAAGTGTCAACAACCAAATCAAGAAAAAATTAGATACAAAGCTCTGGTTTGAGAATGGATTTCAAAACTTTTCGTTCCCCTCCCCAATCAAGATTCCTCCCATGCGTCTTCTGTCTCTTCAAAGCCAGAAATACTTAAGTCTTCATCTGTCTCTCCTCTGCTACAAGGAAACACATAATGAGCACTGGAAAGACTGCTGCCAAATTTAACTATCATTGGACAGACACTATTTCAGATGGAAATCTAAAACAAAAAGGAAAGCACTCTTTAAAGCAGCCTATTATACAATTATGAGTCACCCTTCTCACCAAGAAGCAAAGAAGTTTCACATCTGTCCACCTTCCTCTTTGTCTAGAGATGCTCAGTGGAAGACAAGCTCAGGTGGACTGTGATGTCTGACTAAGTAACCCAGGCAGGGGTGGGGTAATTCTTTAGCAAACAGGACAGAGGCCGCGAGAAATTCAGGTGTTAGACACGCTGGAGAACTTTCTAGGAATAAATTCTATTTTTCCTGCCCTCTCTTTGTTTTTGTTTTAGAGCAAATACATCAAAGTAATGTTATTTTATAAATATTACCTCACACAACAAAAGCAATCGTTTTAAATATGAAGAAAACATTTTTCCATTTTTAATAATGACTGAAATAAGCAACTCACAGATTTGGGGAGTCAGCCTTTTGTAGGGAGAGGGCAGGGCACCATGACAGGGGGGCGGCCGAGCCCAAGGCCTTGTAGATGTTACCATGGTGCTACACGCCCACCTCCTGACATCAGCCTTTGTAAAATGTAACCTTCCCCCATGCATTCATACATTAAATAGGACTAGAGAAGCACATTTTTGTTTGATATTTTTTTTCAGGTAAAGCAAAATTCACAAAACATACAATTAAGCATTTTAAAATATAATAAATTCAGTGGCAATTACTGCATTTGCAATGCTCTGGAATCATTACCTTTCTCTATATCAAAACTTCTTCATCACACAAAAAGGACACCTGTGCTTTAAGTAATCAATCCTCACTCCTCTATCTTGCTACCCATTGGCAAGCACTAAGCTGCTTTCTGTCTCTATTCTGTGTACAGAAATGGTGAAGCACTTAATATGTGCTTCACTGTAAGTGGTAATGAATTACTAAGTCATTTATTTTAAGCATAAAAGATCTGATAATATTTGAGGCAATTCAGGCTTTACACAAGTGAAGAACCTGAACTTTGAACCAATCTATTTGCATTCCACTGTCCCTTCACTACTATCTTTAGGGTCGTGTCTTTCACTCAATGTTTCTACAATAAAGGAGTTATGGCAATGAAGTTTAAAAGTATGAAGTTCAAAGAAAAATCTTGTTAGAATTATTTTAAAAGCTCTAGAGATCTTAAGGAACTATAAAAGACATGCACCTATTCTTGAGTTACTTATTCCATTTAAATGGGCATATAAAATGAGTATTTACTTAAAATTTCAGAAAAAAAATTCAACTAAAGTAAACTTAGGAAATTTTGCAACCATAATTCAACAGTATGAAGTAAAAAATAAATAATAAAATAGTTGTATAGTGAATTCCTACCGAAAAAATAATTTTTAGCCTTTCCTTACTTCAAAAAAAGTCAAAAGTTGTACTTTATCATAACACTATCAAAAAAACTACGCAAATCATGTAAATCAATTTAAAAACAATAAAAATTGTAAGCTAATTTTCTACTATAGAAAATGCTAAACTCTAGGACAAAATTTTTAAATGCATACTCAAAATAAGAGTGTGTTGTTCCTGAAATATATTAAATTGTATATGTCCCAGCATACACAAACTTGAGTTCAGATTGATTTTTCTCACCAAATACATTAATTGCATTTTGTGGTTATACCCAGAATAAGCAACCACACAATTTGAGCACAAGAGAGAAAATAAACTGCACACATTTTTAAGTCAACAGTCTTGGATATAAAAATGTATACAAATTTGCATTCTGCTTATATTTTCAACTTGAGAAAATACCATTCCACGAATTGACATGAGTGTCTTACAAGGCCAAGCTCACATACCACAAAAATTGCCTTTGTGTGGATACTAGCCATGTCATAATTTTTCAGTAAGGCATGGGCCCAAGTAAAATCCCACCAAAAGCAAAAATGTCCCAAGATAGAATGGAACGAATGGGAAAGTACTGATGTCTTCTGACTGCTGAGAGGTTTGCCAAAGGGTTCTGTGCCCAGACATCTTTTTTTTATCCCCAACAGCAAACAAAACTGTCTCCAGAGCAGTAGAGATACAGTTACAAGTACAGAGAAACGAACCCAGGACATATTTCTTTAGATACAGAGAATCAGAATAAAATTAAGCGGTCTCATGAGAATAAAAATTATTCTATCTTACTCATTTAAATCCCTAGCTACTAGTACTAATAGTACTCTAGGGCAATAACAACACATATTTCTTAAAAACATGACTGAAATTTAATTTGGTTTAAAAAAAAAGCTTTAGAAATATTGGGGGCTACATAGCAATAATCTTAAAATTTTGCTCTACCACCCATATTGTAATTTTATTCCCAAAATGTTACCCTGACAAGCTAATTTTGCCCTAGCAAAAACCTATATACAGATTTACTTCAGTCTTTGCAAATTTAATGTGTATATGAATAGTTCTTCTGCATTACAGATGGTTTTTATACTTTTCCTATGTTTTTTAGATTTCTTACAATAAATATGCGGTATATATGTGTAAGAATTATGCTTCAAAAATGCAGAAGAGATGTGTATGCCTATATAATTTCAAAACAGGCTATTAAAGCTTCACTAATAGCACACCAGAACATATGCCTTTCACATTATAAGAAAATGAGAAAATGGTGTACATAGTAAACTGTAATTTCATGGATTTTAAACCAACATCAGATCTAAAGGCTATAACTTTACTTCATTATATGTATATTCAGAAGTAAAAATTGTATTTGGCTGCAAATATTTAGAAACTTTCACTTCTATTGTATTAATTTTAAGCCATGAGGAAAAACAGTGAAATTTGACATCTAAAATGCTGCTTCTGCTCCTCATTTTCATTCCTTGTCCAATCTGGACAGGACTTTGGAATGTGAGATACTAAAGTGGTACTTATTATGCAACTCTAATTTCACTTTCTCCATCAATTTAAGCCAACTACACACACACACACACACACACACACACACACACACACACACACACACAAGCACATACAGAACACATACCAGCATCAGCTACTCCCACAACCCTAAACAGTATTTAAAGACACCTTATTTAAACAAAACCATAAAAGAAGCTAGAATTTATTCGCATTACCTAATATGGTAGAAGAAAGAACATAAATTTGAAACTATAAATGACAATATATGCTCTCAATGTACAGTGAGAATAAATAAAAAGATGTTATTTATTGCAGAGAATGCAGAAAATACCATTCCCAAACAAAAATGTTCACCCTATGAAAAAAGAAAGAAAAACCAAATAATGAAGGAAAGAAATTTATTTTAGTGAGACATTTACAGTCTCATAGTATATCATCATCTTTATTGTATAACATTTGCCTTATTGTCAAATCTGTGTTCAAAGTAATTCAGAAAAGATGTCTAAAAAATAAAAATTAAAAGTAAAATGTCTAATAAGTTCAATGAATTCCAATATATTAATTTCATTTAAGCTTCCTATATCTCCTTTTAATAAATGAAAATACTTCAGAAAAATCAAACACAGATCCTTCTCCCTAAAAAGGAAAAGAGATATTTCTTAGCTGAAACAACAGAAATCTATTTCTATTGGTCTTAAAATAGCAGCCCAAGGTAGATTATTTTAACTATAATTTTTGCTATAAAGATCCAATGTCTGAATTCTGAGAACCTAAATAGACCTTTAATGATCAGGAAATTTCAAGTTTTGTAATCACTGTCACTACTGGCAATTAAAATAACTGAATAAATTTAAATATATTAATATATTAAAATGCTGTAAAAAGCACATGACAACTGAAAACTGAATTAAACTGAGGACTCACATTTGCAAAGTCTTCTAATATGGACATAATATAAAATGAATAATTAAACGTTTTGCTGCTATTTTAAAATATTCAAATGAGGGCTCACCTAACCTAAAATAACCTACTATATTCAGGAACTTATTCTATATCTTCCCATTGTTTTGTTAAAAGCATCTCGAGAATCTTTATATTTCAGAACAATAGTCAAAGTCCAATATTACTATGAAGTTCATCTCAAATTTCCTGTATATATATATATATATATATATATACACACACACTTTTATTTTATACACAACCTTTGTATACTACATTTGTATTCTCTTAAGAATCAGTGACAATTCATAGTCATTTTAAAGTCTAGAGCAAAAGCCATGACCTTAAATTTTGGAATACTTATTAAGGCATAAAAGGGCTTAGGTATCCTCACAAAATTTAAGTTTAATCAAATTCTAGAAGGCCAAACTCTAATAAAGAAAGCACTAAGATAAATAACCAAAAGTGAATTTCAGTTAGTTAAAAGTATTAAGAGTAAATGAGTTAACAGTAAAAGCACAATTATGTTCTAGGAAGAATTTGCTTTATAAAAAACCAGCAACATATTTTTTAAAAACACGATTTAATATTCCAAAAGAGAAATCAGTTTAGTGATTACATACTGAAAGTTGTCCAGATAAGAACTGTGGAACATCTCTCAGCATGCCGGGACTCATGGGAGAGGTAACGGAAATAGAAGGACGATCCATTTTCTGAGATTCAAAAGAGCTAGAGCCTGAAATGAGAATTAAACATAAAGAACAATAAAATGGCTCTCTACAACTATTTAAGAATGATTAGCATACATCTTTTAAAAGTCTGTAAAATGCCGTATATAGACCATTTTGTTAGGCACAAAGATACCCACTGAGGTTCGGCTGTTGTTTTTCCACATCACCAGGGGCACAGAGCCACTGTCCGTGCCAACTGTGCTAGAGGCAGGCCTCAACCCCAGAACTGAGGTTCTTCATCCTTTCCTGCATACCAGATTCATATGTTCTGGTAACATAGTCAGAAAAGTTTAAAAATAAAACTAAATAACCACAATATAAATCAGTAAAGCAACATAAAGACAGTCTAAACTTTAAGTGCTAAGAATGAAAGTACTAAAATCTCCAGAACTACTGAATGTTTCCAGGAAGTGACTTTTTAAAAACCATATGTTGAAGACTATAAATTAGACTTAGAGAAAGAAAAAAGAATCTATGAACAAAGATGCAGCATACCACAGTGAGCAGACCTTGTACCCAAAAAGCACAAGTTTACTTCTATGGGAAGTGAAGTAGAAATTGAGCTAATAGGATGCAGGTGGCACTGTGTGGCTAGAATTCTGGGTGGGGCGTCAGGCACAAAGAAAGTATCCACACTAAGCTCTAACGTGGAAGAAAAGAACATTGCATTTTGAGGAAGACGGCCTTATCACCTATTTAAAGTATGGACTACAAGGAAGAAAACCATAAGAAGCCAGCAGAATTCAATCAGTAGTAAAAGTAATGTTTCACAGAGGGAGTGGAAAGGAGGAATTCGAAGAGACAATAAAATTAAGAAATGAAGACCCTAGGGCCAGGCATGGTGGTGGCTCAGGGGTTCAGTGCTTGCCTAGCCTGGGCACGGCCCTAGATTGGCTCCCCGCACCCCCCCCCCGCCCACACACACACACACACACAAACTACCCAGAAACTCATTAGATATGAGACATAAAAGAAAGACAATGGAAAGAGCCAAGATCTCAAATCCGAGAACCAAGTGTGGGATGCAGAAAGCCTTGTGTTTCTGTTGTTTCTGGGAAAAGTGCTGATGTTTCATGGGATTTGGAACACTGGGTTAGGAAAGAAGCGGAAGTGTACAGCATGTAACTAAAAATACAGATGAAGCAAAATGTCAGAGCACAGACTACGGTGGGCAATGGTCCTGTCGTTCTGCACACCCACCCGGACACAGGTAGTAAAGTTCACCTTTACAGATGGTACTGCATACAACAGGGGGAAACTACAAGCCTTGGGTTAAGAAGTGATGGTGACACCCTTCCTCTTATTTAGAAATAGAAAGAATGATGCCTTCAGTAGTAAGAACGAAGGTAGTCTCTTACTGGAAAGCTGCAGGTACTTGGCACACGTCTGTAAATCCAGCACTACGGAGGACGAGGCAGAACTACTATGAGTTCAAGGCTAGCCTGAGCTACATAGTGAGTTCAAGGTCAGCATGAACTACACAGTGAGCTCCTGCCTTAAAAAGAAAAAAGAAATACAGCTGAAGGTAGCAGGATGATACTAAACAAAATATATTCTTTGAATATCCAGGGATGACGTGACGATGAGAGACCCTATAGACTGTGTGCAACTTTAGGAACTATACAGCTAGCAGTTAAAACCATAAGAAGACAAAAATGTACTCAGAAACTGAGAAAACAGATTTAGAGATTAAAGAAGAAACATGAGATCTAATTTGATGCAGGATACTTGTCTCTGCAGGAACAATTTTAGAACTGTAGCTCATAGATTTTTTAAATGACTAAATAAGAAAAGGGCTCCATGATGTTCATGCAAAGGCAGGGTGACTTATTAATATAAGAATGTGAAGTTTCTACCTGCCCACACAGTTGTTGGAAGAACTGTGATGGTGTAAGTGCAACACCAAGTGCAGACGCCAGTCCTAAATATGATGGGAGCCAGGGGTGGCGGTGCACACCTGTAATCCCAGCACTCAGGAGCTGAGGCAGGAGGATTTCTGAGTGCTTGGGTACCTAGGTAGTTCAAGGGCAGCCAGCACTATGTAGTGAGACCTAGTCTCACAAAACCAAATAAATAAATGAATAAACAAACACAATGAGGTATGAGGGTAACAGTAATAGCAACCCTGCATAATAACAGTGATGATTATTATGTTAGGGTTTATGGGTCACGGACACAGTTTGGGATAAAACGATTTAGTACTTAGCTGAAGGTGCTAAATCAAACAAGTCATATGACTGTATTTTAAAGTACAGACACTTGGCATTCCAAAAGAACTTCAACCACCTATGGAGACTTTAAAGACACTTATACTAACAAGTATAAATATAAAAGAACAAAGCCTATTTGGCAGGGGCAATGCTAGATTGAATCCAGTAGCTCACACACGCAAAGCAAGCAGTCTGCCACTGGAATACATCTCAGCCCAGAAAACATCTATTTTCAGTAACATACTTTAGTTATTGAGGTGAGGAGAGAACTGGACCACTTCTCAACACCTCCGTGCTACAGCCTCGGTCTAGTCAGCCTGGGATTGCTGCTAGATGACTAAAGCAGTCCTGTCACGGTCATTCTCCTTTTACCCAACCCATCTACTCTACCTTCAGGGCGGGAGCCCGATTTCCAGAGGCGAACATCTGCTCACAGCTGTCCTCTGTAGCTCCGCACTTCCCTCCAAGGAAAGGCTGGAGTGCTGAGGGTGCCTCTGCAACGGCCGCCACTGCCCCTCGCGCCCTCCCTTCCCCTCCCCTGCAGGCTCCTGCCCCCCCCCACACACACACACACCTCAGCCTTTCCAGCTCAGAGCAGTCTCTGTGTCTGGACAGCTCTCACCCTACAGGGCCACTCTCTTAATTTTGCTCCAACTCTTTCTGTTTGGTCTACTCTAAAGAACAGACTGCAGATTACAGCCTTCTTCCTCTTTTTCCCAGAAGTCTCTTACTCTGCTATTGATCAGAAAACAGTTCACTGGAGGAAAAACCAGTTAACATTTGATACAGTATACAAAACCAAGTAATAAAAAGTACCATACATTTGACATTTAAACATATCTTTTGTTCCATTATAGCTTTGATGTTAAATCAGAACGACTATTCTAAAAATATAAATATGAACAAGTGCAATCGTTCACTAGTTCATCCCAAGAATTTCCACCTACCTAAAGTAAAAATACAAAGTAGTACATTTTAAAACTCAAGGAAAACTTTGGGGCTACAAGCCTGGGAGTTCTCAGTGCATTTGTGATTTGTTGTTGTGGTGATGGCTTCAGGGTATTTCCACCACTCAACACTTAGCTAACGGGGTACAGCAACTGTGTGTGGGTTACAGCACTACGCCTCAATAAGAATCACCTCAAAATCAACACAAAAGATAGCATGCCTTCAAAATATCCTTAATTATTACAAAACTGTGTATACGTTCTCATAGTGACAAGGAATGGTATTAAATTGTCCACCTTTATGGCATACTGAGTAATAACTCTACTACACCTCTTCACATTAATAAGTAGGATGCTTCATTTGATCTTTGATGATGACATCACTAATAACATTCTTTCTAGAATAAATGAAACTTACTGGACTCCAGTTGTGCATGTGTGCTATCAGGTATTCTAGGTATATCTCTGAAATGACAGGAAAAAAAGAGAAACTGGTTCAACACTGCAACTGCTGCTTTGGTCATTTTTAGCATATGTAGTAACTCAACAGTGTACAAGGACACACAAAACTGTGGGTGGTACAGGAAGTAGGCAAAGAAGAAATAAGCAGCATCTTACTAATAGAACAGTTGGGCTAACATCAACTATTTAAAAGAAATTAAAATTCATACGTATTCATTGTAGATTTATAAAAACATAATTTTATTTTCTATGTGCCTCACTACACAATTATTAATCCACACTAAAACATTTTGCATGCAATATGGCAAGTTTTACAGATTTTTAGTTATGTCCTACTCTTTATCTTCTGTTCTAAGTCAATAATATTAAAACTCAAACAAAATATCACCAAGGCAAAAATTAGAATAGTCACATTATAATTAAAATAATCTCCTAGACCAGGCATTATGGAGCACACCTATAAGCCCATCACTTGTCAGGCTGAGGCAGGACTGCCACAAGTTCGAGGCTAGCATGGGCTACATAATGAGTTTAAGGCCAGCCTGAATTGCAAGGTAAGACATTATCTCAAAACACCAAAAATAAAAAATAAAAATAATTACTAATAAAATAGTCTCATAGAGGAAAAGACAAACTTTTTTATTGAGACTCAAGGTTATCTTGTAACTATGTTTAAACCAAAACAAGTACATGTTTTTGATAGGAGTTGACAGTACCAGGGTCATTCAGAAAGAAGCATAAAAGACTATAAATTTTCTAAGGGATTAAAAAAATATGATTTCAGGATACTTTAGTACTAATAAATAGATTTGATTAATACAATAAGCTGATATACTGCCATGGTACCATATTATAAAACTATGAAAGGACAAAATGGAAAGTGGACACAGTTTATTGTGCTAAATACATTACTTTGAAAGGAGTATTTCAATAAAACTAATCTACCCATCTAAATCACTTTCTTCTGCTTAAAGACATCAAAATAATATGCCCTGTCATTTCCCAAGTGAAATAAAATGAGGTGTTATTATCCATCAAAGAATTCCCACAGACTTCACCCTCAGAAGCTCTTGCCTCTGCACTGTTAGGCACTTACTGTAGTCTGCACGGCTTCTGTTCTGACATAACTGTGCCTTTCACCCTGGTACACAATATAAGCTTCCACAGAAACACAGGACTGTGGTATTTCATTCTCACCATTTATATGAAAGGGTTACATGCACTGCCAACTTCTAGCAGGTTTTAATTTGTTGTCCATAGATCAAATTGATGAAATTAAAAAACCCTAATTGGATATGATTTGTCTTTTCATGGTCTTTTCAATTACCATTCTTTAAAAAAATTGTTTTTCCTTAAAAACATTCCTATATCTGGCAATTAAATATTCTTTGCATCTTTATTTCCTAGGATAAAATCTCCATTTGAAAAAATATATATACAATTTTTACACTACAGTTGATAGTAATTTTTACATTGAAGTCTCATGATATCATGATATGCATCTTTAAAGCATCTGTTACTAATCACCCCCATCCCTTACTAATGACTGTACCCATTTGCCAAGCTAGCAAGACAATAAAAGTTTTTTTAAAAAACTTTCCATACTTCTTTTGTAATTAACTGTATATTCTCTAAGTCATGAACTTTGGTGAGACGTTTTTGGTAAATAAAGCAACTCAACATTTGTTGGTTGAACAATACTGACGCTTACCAGTATGTACGCAACTTTACATACCAAGCCCTGACCTCGACCTACCCAATGGGTCTTGAAACAACAAGCTCCACTTGTGGCTCAGGTTTGGATTCAAGAATGATGTTGTACACTTCCTCAAAGGTGGCTCCCTGCAGTAGCCTTCCATTCCATTCTAGCACTTCATCACCTACAATGGCAGTAGGAATAGTCTCAAAACTAAGAAATGAAAACCAACCCTATAAAACACACTTAAAATAAAGGCAATCAATGAATACGAGAATAAAAATCACCACCGGGAAATAAGAAACACACTGAGAACACCAGTAATATACAATTTGATGTCAGGATAATATATGCAGTATTTTATCCAAAAGGAAAGTCCAGTGGTCAGAAGGATAAAAGATTACAAAAAAGTTTTAACTTGGTTTCTTAATAGGAATTTTTGTAAAAAGCTTAATAAATAGCACTTTGTTGAATCCTTTTCTCCAATAGTAACAACTGTCTAAGTGATAGGGAATGACACATTTTGCATATCTATGAAGTTTACTTTCTAAACTATGTTAGAATTTTTTTCACAAGAAAGAGAAGGCTAAAACAAAACAAAATAAATTAATACTAAATACAGATTAGACTACCCACCAGTAAAAAAATAAGATCAGTAAATATAAAAATGACTGTCTCTAATATGACATAAGACAGTATAGTTACAACTTTCCTTCAATGAATAAAGATTTACATCTGAGTAAAATGGGTTCTGTATTAATGGTCAAATCACTTGTAAATGAAACTTTTCTTAACTATTCTCAGTTAATACTTTAAATGCAAATAAATGATGGTAGAAACCTACCTGGTCTAAGATGTCCTACGGTATCAGCTAAACTTCCTTTTTTTACTTTGGTAATAAATGCACAGAGTCGACCTGATTCAGTCATCTTACCTCCTACAACCTGTTTAAAAGAAGAAAAGTATTGTTAAAATGAACATAGTGGAATATGTTGGAACACAGAGGAATTGTTCTAGATAGAACAATTTGCAGCTTCTAAAACTGTAATTTAATGTACTGAAAATCATGTGTTAAAGTAATGTTACTATTTGAAAATGAACACAGTCCTCAGAGATACCTCTTCATATTCCAAACAAGGGGCAACTGAAATTCAGGGCTAAAGTGTTGCATGCTTTATAAACAACTTAGCAATTTGCAACTTTTCCTTAGAATGTAAAATTCTTATTTTTGTCATTTTCCAAAACATATTATAGGAGCATTACATTATATAAACATTTCTAACTATAAATTTTAAATATTAACAAATATTTGTCACTTGTACTATGATTATGATGTAATAAATTGTCACTACTAGTAACACTTGAGTTACAGTACTGTGCACAAAGATGATGGTTCTTCGAAAGCTACAAGTTTAATCCCATCAGAAGTAACCTTCGCAAGATTTGAAGCCCAATTGTTCCACTTTATATTCGTATTCATATATATCTTTTAGAAAGAGAAAAACATTAGGAATAATTTGGAATCATATGTATACCTGTAGGAAGCTGAAATCTTACAAAATTAGTGCCTTGCTTCTGATTAACTACCATCCAAGCAATATGTCAGTATCATAGCAGATGAGTCAAATAATGGCAAGTGAATTCATTAGCTAAAGTAAGTTGGTTTTCTTTCTCTTGTAAGTAAAGAACATCTGAATTTAAAAGTCACCAGTTTTTCCTATTCTGTGCATTTATTCCATAATTATAGTGAATTACACTCTGTTGCAATTCAGTTAATACTTACTGGTCCTATGTTTGATTCTGATAACTAAGTGTAGAGGTCTTAATTGGACTTACATCCTTATATAAATATTTTTAAAATCTTGTGTAGTTTGACGAACTTTAATGGTAATAATCAATTGTATTATGTGCAGTTGTTGCTATTGAAAGCTTATTGTATACTAAATGCTTGCTTATTGAGTAAGTTAATCTCTTTCAGCTTCAATAATCATTACCCACACTGCACAAGCGATGAACTCCAAGCACGAAGAAGTTGAGCTGTCCAGTGCCGTGTGGCAGGAAAGGGGAACAGTCTTTCTCCCCTAGGCACCTGGCAGACCTGCTCCTCCACCAACACCATCACCCCGTCATCAGCATGACACAACCATGGGTTACAATGTCTCTGTAGGCTTAGCTGTTCTCTGCGTGAACACTGAGCACGATGACAGACGCAAATGCCCAGGTGAGTCCCAGCCACCAATGGCAGATGTCCAATCCCACCTACACCCAAACCATTCTAATATCTGCTATTTACCACAATATACAGAACAACTTCTGAAGCAACAGCTAAAACATTTACTTTGTTTTCATTGCAGCTTTTATTGGCCACTGATGCACAAAACCAAACAGAGCTCTGTTCGTTGAATTTAACAATTAATTTCCTGATATTTTACAAAATATGAATTAACATTCACATTTAATCTAAAATAAATACTCTTGGGGTTTCAAGTCTTAGGACAGTACTCTCTAAATACACACACACACATTTTACTACATTAACACAAAAGTTATATTCCTATGTAATGCACATATTATATTTCCTAAGCTTGCATATTGAATAATTAAGTAAAACTACCATTTTAATATAACATAGTATAGACTTAAAGGGAAGGCTTTATACATAATATAAGTTTGATCAATGTATGAGAATTCAAATTTATTGTAACCAGGTTATCATTGTCTTCCAAAGTTAAATATATCCACACTATTGTGGAATAATGGCAGCTTTTAAATAATATTTGGAAAATGAAAGGTTTTGGATGATGAGTGAGAACTTGTGAATATGGAAAAAATATCTAAATTGATATAGGTAGAAAGAGTTATTATATCCTTAGTTTTTCTGATAAATTTGCAGAGGAGTGCAGAGCCAAAATCTCACACATTTTATTACATACCTTTAAGCCAAGCATTGCTCCTGAATCTCGAGGTACACTTCCGTCTTTCAGACGCTTATTTAATAAAATACGACCAATTAAGCGATCTCCATCTTTGGATGGCTGCCAGGTCACAGGGTGCTAACATATTGCATCAACAAACAAAAATAAATTAGTGGTTTTTTTGACAAGTGACTTCTGATTGTACTCTTTAAAGTTCAGAATTCTAAAGTGTTATGATTACACAGACCAGCTCATGTTCCAAAACACTGATCAAAAAGCTTACTCTTAGAACCTCAATTTTATAATCTCCATATTTGTTTCAAAATCAAATTATGACAAATTCTTTAGTTCTTTGACACAATACTGAAGTTATAAAGATCAATAAAATCTGAAAAATCTAAAAACACATGAAAACTACACAGATTATCATTAAAATTCATAGGCAAAAATGACAAATTCTATGTCATTGAACTCCCTTAAAAATGAGAATTTCCCCTTCAAACTCTTTTGGAAGATTCTGAAAACTACTGAAGTAAAAAATAAAAGGCCAAATCATATTAAAACATGAAATCTAAACTCATAATGGAGGCTTTCCTGAGCATTTCTAGATTAACATTCTAAAAAACTGCACAAGCCTCCAAAAGTTTCCAGTGGTCTGCATGGGAGAAACAGGCCTCATTCGGAAGCAAGTGTAGATCACATTCCTTGCTTACAGAGATGTACCAATTCTTTCAAATCTTTGATTTGTTTAGCAAATTGCCTATTCTAGGCAAGTGAAATAGTATTCACTGCTAAACGACCTTGAAAATCTTGTTTATTTTTCTCAAAGCAAAACCAATGCCTTTATAAATAATGGTACCCTTCCATTACAAACAATATGCTAAATAACGAAGTAAATGATTTGTGTAATCATAGTAGTTTCAGTTATCTAAAAAACAGCATGCATGTCTTCATGCAAAATTTAGCAGGCAAAAGGACAAGTGCCAGTCAATCACATTTACATGGTAAAAAGATTTCAAAAGCCTCACTAAACTAAAAGCAAAAATAATAAATATCAAAGCAGATGGAAATGGTTCTAATACTAATTAATACTACATTAAAATGCTATGACAATAAAACAAAAAAGTAAAATGACAGTGAAAGGGAAAAAAGAAAAACAACTTTTTCTGTGCAAACAGACCCAATTTTCTCCCTTTTGCCTGGGATTCAAACTATTCATAATTTAATTTTCATCCCAAGGAAAATATAAGGAAACAATCAAATAAGCCAATCCAAAATAGTTTCGTATTTGCAGTTTATAATAACATTACCAAGTTTCACATGCAACCATAGACAAAATATTCTTTTGTTCCTAGGTTTTATTTTCAGTTGCTTATTTTTTGGTATGCCGTCAGACAATAAAAACAGCAAAACAAGAGGGTTTTTGGTTTGTTTGATTTTTATTTTGTTTTTCTTTTCTGCACCTTAAGAAATGCTACATTGACCCTTGAAATGCCCTGTCCTTTGTATTATGTTCTATTTTAATGGGTGACAGAGAGCAAACGAAGACCAAATGAGCAGGTAAAAGGCAGGCTCCACAATCTCAGTACCTTATCGCTATGGCTATGCTCCTCGTTAAGGGTTGTGCTACTACAGGTATCTACCCCAGAATCCTTAATCTGAGGCTCAGACCATTCCAAATCCTCTTCCAAAGAGTGGCCACCAAAGTACAGCATTTTCTTTTGTCTCTCAGACCTGGTGTTAGAGTCCGACAAAACTGCCTGCTCACTAGTTTTTCTTTTTCCCTTTTGACTGTCCCCTAAAGGTGTGGGATAAAAAAAAAAAGATACAAAAAGAAAACATGCAAAGGTGTAAATAAAAAAGGAAAAATGAAATGATAACAAAAATTAAATAGTAAGGCTCCACATGTCTCACCAAAGACATTGGGGATGCCTCACTGCTATGCCAAGACGTGTGGTCCAACCAGGTGTGATCCATGTCTCCTGTGAGAGCCAGACAAAGCACGCAGTAAAGGAGACAGAGGGAAAAGGACAGACAGAAACATTATCAGCACTGTAAACTCCGTGATCCTGTCTGGTTTCAAAAGTTTTGTCACACTTGTCATATGCACCAAAAGGAAATCAAGATTCCAAATGAATAAATTCATAGAATGTGGACTATCAGGATTAAGTATTTAGACAGACCCTACAGAAGCCTTGCAAGAAGCAGAAAGGCTAATAACAAGAATAAAACAAAAAAACGGGTATGTGGAAGAAGACAAGGACTATCAGCTGCATCTGTTTCCCATGCTATTTTTTTCCATGCTGGCACACAAGTTTGTTCTCCAAAGACTAATAAACACTTAAAAATTAAGTAGTGATTCTACGTAACTACTCTTTTAAAAGCCAAATAATAAATGTTTTTTGAATGCAGTATAATATTCCTTATAATGGTGAATTCTCAAAACTCAGAAGGGTAAAAAATTGGTTGTTCAAATGATTAATTTTCTATAAAAATAAAGAAGATTCATTCAATTTTTATTTTATAAATAAAATTAATTTCACTTAAATATTACTTTGAAACAAAATTTTTCAGAACCTGTATTCTTATAAAAAGTAAACTCTAAAAAATAATTTTGTTAGACTTCATATATTTGGCAACTAAGAATGAAATCTATTCCCCAAATTTAATGGATTTTTCCAACATTAATTCATGACAATTGAAAAGAATTTCTTTTTAGTCTACATATGGACATTTATGTTTTTAAACTCAATTCAGACTTTCATTTATTTAAAAATATTTACTGAACAACTGCATTTGCTATGACCTACACTAAGCCGTGGGATAAGGGAAAAATAAGGAAACATATTCACAACACAGTGAGGATAAACACAACAAATCATCAGCACCATGAAAGGGAAAAAAATAAGGTCGAATTCAGATTTGAGAGTCAGGAAACACCTTTAAAGTAGTGACATGAAAACTCAAAGAGATTAGCTAGTGAACAAATTCCAGGGAAAGGTGACACGTGGCACTGCAGGAACAGAATGACTGCAGCGTGTCTGCACCAAAAGGAAGCAGAGACTGCGGTGCTAACAACACTGACGAGGCATCATGACGTCACAGACAGGTCTTCTGTGCCAAGTAAAAGATTTTAAATTTCAACCAGAAGTATTTTAAGCAAAATGGTGACAATGTATCATTTGCATTTGAAAAGATAAATCTAAGTACTGTACAGAGACCTCACTGGAAGAAAACTAGACAATTGCAACGATCCCTGAAGAGGTGACTATAGCCTCAGCAAGGTGATGGCAACAGACTTGGTAAGGAGAGAGCTGATTCACGCATTCAGGTAGAATCAGTGTTAAATTAAGAAAGACAAGGTTCTGGGGCTGTTGACAAATGAATTAAAGAAAAGACAATGAATTACATGGAAAAGATTGGAGGGAAGCCCTTTTTCATAGGGAAGAGATGTGAGAGAATTAATTACTTTATTTCATAGAATGTAAGATACCTCTTACTGAGATTCATAAATTTCATGATATCAAACCTTTATGTTAGCATTTGTTAATAACAGTGGATGGTTCTGTTATATATTCTTTGTAATATCTACAACTTATTCAAGTGGGCATGTAATAAGGTCAGTCAAAATGAAGTAAAACAAATTTTGATATGGAGGCATGCATTGGGAATTATTAGCCTACAGATAGGACAGGAGTAAGGAGATCATGTAGGAGCAGAAGATATATAATTTATGATCAGGATGTTTAGAATTTAGAGAGAGACAGAGACACAAAGAGAGACAGAGACAGAGAGAGAGAGAAAGCACGTGCAGAGAACGAAAAGAGGAAATACATGAAAGATTCCACGTAGAAGAGAGTTCTCAAAAAATGAAGATCAATCATTTATTCGGGAAGGATTTCCACATTAAATAGGATGAGCAATTAAAAAGTATACACTTGATTGGGCAACATGAAGACTAAAGAGGATGTAGAAAGAGCAGTTTAGTATAATGATTATAATTAAAATCAGATTAAAGTGTTTGAGAAACAAAAGCGAGATTAGAAGAAAAATGTAGATGGGTAATTCTAACATCAATAACATCATCTGCAAACATGTTAGAAATGCAAACTTCTGGGCCTCATCCTCGAGCTAATGGGTCAGAAACTGACTGACTCTGGAGTCAGCCATCTTTGCTTCAACCACCTCTAACTAACGTGGGAGAAACACTGGGGGCTAGAAACTTTATTTATGAAAGAGAATGAAACTAAATTATCTAGCACACACAAAACAAAATTTGTAGAAAAAAACCACATTATTAAACCTGTTAGCAAGAAAAGTGGCTCTCAAGTTTTCTTCACAGGACAGATAAACAATTGGAATTTTAGAATAACACCATGCAAAGGTAAATGAAGATAAGCAGCCGGAGGTGAATTATGTTGCTCGCCCACTGGCTACTCAAAAAGCTGAGAGTATCTGTATCTCAGAAAACCTGACAACTGTAAATTAAAATTCTTGAATGATGAATCTGAAGATAATTCACCTCACAATCTTTCCTTTCTCCCAATGCCTACAATCTACTAGAAAGGTAGAAATGTAAATATTTTCTTCATAAAGCAAATAAACCCTTTAATCATTTGAGGCTAATACAAAAACACCTGACTGAACTAAAAGGCAGTTTTATATATAATAGGCACTGAGCAAACACTTGTGGAATGAGTAAAAACTGATCTGGGGAACTAGTTTTAAATGGTCCCAGCTATTAATACGTACATAATACTTACCACTTAAATTCTTATTCTCTGTAGCTGCTAACGGAAGACCTACGGGAATAACATCTTTCTTCAGTAATAGTACAAAAACATATTGCTGGGCTTTCCAGTTCAGAGACAAGAATTAAAGACACAAGCACCAAATGAACACCAGAGGTTTAGCTCAGTGGCATACGTGCCTGCCTGGCAAGTGTAACATTGTGAGTTGGATACCCAGTCTGCCCCTCCCCCTAAAAAAAGAACCACATGAAAATTTTAGAATGCAAAATAACCAACATTTTAAAAAGAAAATAGAAGGGTTCTTTGCACTGGGCAGAGAAATGACTCAATGAATTTGAAGAGAAAAGAAAAAATTAATCTGAAAAGACTAATTGAAAAGTAAAATAAAATAAAATGAACAGAAACTTATACCCTTGAAAGACCATAAAAAGGTGTACCACTCATATCACTGAATTTCCAAAAGAAGAGAAGAAACCAAATGGACTGAAAAAGCACTCAAAGAAACAAGGGCTGGAAATCCTCCACATACGGCAAAGCTAAGAGCCTGCAGACACAAGAAGCTATGGATGCCCCAGAACAAGACAACGCAGAGACTTCACACAGGGAGACAGTCAAACATAAGGTGCCTTGAAGCAACAAAAAGGAAACACCTCGCCTAAAGAGGGAAAATAATTTGACAAGAGACTTGTAATCAGAAATTTCAGTGGCCTGGAGGAAGCCGCACATATTTTTCAAATACTGAAATGAAAGAAATGATCTGCCCAAATGTTAATTAGGATGAAATTCTCTGTCAAGCCTGGAAACCATTCCAGATAAAAGAAAATTATGAGAATTTGTCACCAGCAGACCTACACTACAAGAATAGCTACAGGAAGTTCCAGAAATAAAAAGAAAAACAAAAGGAAGGAATCTGAAATTAGTGATAAGAAATGAAAACCACGGTGAGCACAACTACAGACAAATATAATATATTTTAATTCTCTCAAATGTTCCAAATTATGTTTAATGCTTGAATTAAAAAGTAAATATTATTCGATGGGGATTTCAACATATATTCAGAAGATATTTAACACAATAAAATCATAGATGAAAACGTAAGCGTAAAAGGTTCTTACATTTCACTTATCTGATTAAATGTAAGCACAAGCAGAATATAATAATTCATGCATAGAAAATGTATTACCTAAAGCAACCAAACTTAACACATACACATAATGAAAGAAACATTACAGATAAATCAAAATGCCCCTCACATAAATATTCAAATAGCCAATAGAAGGACAAGAAAAAGAAATCAAAAATGAAAAGGAAGAAACTACCAGAAAACAAAAAATAAAATGACAAGCAACAATAAAACTGCAGATCAATATTCTTCATGGATATACATGAAGAAATTCCTAAAATACTATTACATGTGTAAAAACAATTATACATATAACCAAGTATATTATTCTAGAATGCAAGACTGAATAGTTCAAAATCAATGTGATCCATCCAAATTACAAGTTAAAGGAGAAAAATTAGGTGAATCTATTACTGACAACTGATGAAAATTCATAATCAGAAAATGCAGAAAATATGAAAGAGAAAGGAACTTAAATAAATGAATAGTTAAAACATAAAACTTACCAGCTAAGGTCTTACTTAAAAACAAAAGTTTGAATGCTTTACATGAAGAAAAATTTCATCAAAGACCATATTTATCAATAATTGCCAAAAAAGGTACATACCAGATGACTAAACAGGTTAAATGCACACCACAGAACGTGTTTTTAAAAAATTATTTATGATTACAATATGTGTGGACCTCAAGTGCATTATGCTGAATGGTTAAACTGATAAGAGAATGTTTTACTAATTAAATCATATTTTATGTGATTGCCTTGAGCAGTTGCAGATGGTATTAGATGTCACTATAAAGAGATCAGGATAATCTTTGTTGTGGTGTAGTTTAGGATTTGGTAACAGTATCAGTGACACAAATCCATACATGTGGGGATATGGCCTTACATGTGCAAGGCCCCAGGTTTGATCCCCAGCACCACCA